AGAAAACGATATGGAACAACAAAAACATCCCTTCACTAAAGTTTTAGTGTACGAGGAAACTCAGAAAACGATATGGAACAACAAAAACATCCCGTCACTAAAGTTTTAATGTAGAAAGAAACTCAGAAAACGATATGCAACAACTAAAAACATCCCTTCACTAAAGTTTTAATGTAGAAAGAAACTCAGAAAACGATATGGAACAACAAAAACATCCCGTCACTAAAGTTTTAATGTTGAAAGAAACTCAGAAAACGATATGGAACAACAAAAACATCCCTTCATTAAAATTTTAATGTAGAAAGAAACTCAGAAAACGATATGGAACAACAAAAACATCCCGTCACTAAAAGTTTTAATGTAGAAAGAAACTTAGAAAACTATATGGAACAACAAAAACATCCCTTCACTAAAGTTTTAGTGTACGAGGAAACTTTGAAACGATATGGAACAACAAAAACATCCCTTCGCTACAGGTTCAATCTAGAAAAAAATTTACAAAGCAACATGTAAAACAAAACATCAATTCACTCTTGCTTTAATCTAGAAGGAAATTTAAAAAACGACATGGAAGAACAAAAACACCCATTCATTCCAGTTTTAGTGTAAAAGGAATCTTAGAAAACGCCATGGAACAACAAAAAATTCCCATCGCTCCAGTTTGAGTGTAAGAGAAACCTTTAACAAACGACATGGAGAACAAAACCGCCCTTCACTCCAGTTCTAGTGTAGAAGGAAATTTAGAAAACAACAAGGCACAACAAAAAGTCCATTCACTCCAGCTTCATTCTAAAAGGAAATTTAGAAAACGACATTGAACAAAAAAAAAAATCACTTCGCTCTAGTTTCACTTTAGAAGGAAATTTAGAAAACGACATTGAACAAAAAAAATCACTTCGCTCTAGTTTCACTTTAGAAGGAAATTTAGAAAACGACTTGGAACAACAAAAACATAAATTATTTTAGTTTTAGTGTAAGAGGAAACTTAGATAACCATATGGAACAAACAAATAATCCATTTGCTCCACCTTTAGTATAGAGGTAAACTTAGCAAACGACATGGACAACAAAAAGGTCCATTCACTCTAATTTTAGTGTAGAAGGAAATTTAGAAAACGATTCATTCCAGCGTTAATATAAACGGAAATTTAGAAAACGACATGGAAAAACAAAAACATCCTTTCACTCCAGTTTTAGTGTACGAGGAAACTTAGAAAACGAATTGGAAAAACAAAAACATCCTTTCACTCCAGTTTTAGTGTACGAGGAAACATAGAAAACGACATGGAAAAACAAAAACATCCCTTCACTCCATTTTTAGTGTACATGGAACAAGAAAAACATCCCTTTACTCCAGTTTTAGTGTAGAAGGAAACTTAGAAAACGACATGGAAGAACAAAAACATTACATCGCTCTAGTTTTAGTGAAAGAGAAAAGTTGAAAAAGGACATGGAATTAGAAAACGTCCATTCACTCCAGTTTTAATGTAGAACGAAATTTAAAAAACGACATGGAAGAACAAAAACATACCTTCACTCTACTTTTAGTGTAAAAGGAGATTTAGAAAACGACATGGAAAAACAAAACATCCCTTCACTCCAGTTTTAGTGTAGAAGGAAACTTAGAAAACGACATGGAAGAACAAAAACATTACATCGCTCTAGTTTTAGTGAAAGAGAAAAGTTGAAAAACGACATGGAATTAGAAAACGTCCATTCACTCCAGTTTTAATGTAGAACGAAATTTAAAAAACGACATGGAAGAACAAAAACATACCTTCACTCTACTTTTAGTGTAAAAGGAAATTTAGAAAACGACATGGAACAACAAAAACATACCTTCACTCTACTTTTAGTGTAAAAGGAAATTTAGAAAACGACATGGAACAACAAAAATATCCCTTCACTCCAGTTTTATTGTAGAAGGAAACTTAGAAAAAGACATGGAACAATAAAAACATTATTTCATTCCAGTTTTATTGTAGACGAAATCTTAGAAAACTATTTTGAACAACAAAATATCCATTCACTCCAGTTTTATTGTAGAATGAAACTTAGAAAACGAAATGGATCAACAAAAACATCCCTTCATTCTAGTTTTGTTGTATGGGGAACTTATACATCGAGATCGAGATCATAAGCCATCGGAAATCATCTTTATAAAACCATTGTAAACAGTTCCTTCAATACTACAGGAACTAATGAAACAGTTGAAACAGATCATAAAACATTGGAAATCATCTTTATAAAACCATTGTGAACAGTTCCTACAATACTACATAGACTAATGAAACAGTTGAAACAGATCATAAAACATTGGAAATCATCTTTATAAAACCATTGTGAACAGTTCCTACAATACTACATAGACTAATGAAACAGTTGAAACAGATCATAAAACATTGGAAATCATCTTTATAAAACCATTGTGAACAGTTCCTACAATACTACATAGACTAATGAAACAGTTAAAACAGATCATAAAACATTGGAAATCATCTTTATAAAACCATTGTGAACAGTTCCTACAATACTACATAGACTAATGAAACAGTTGAAACAGATCATAAAACATTGGAAATCATCTTTATAAAACCATTGTGAACAGTTCCTACAATACTACATAGACTAATGAAACAGTTGAAACAGATCATAAAACATTGGAAATCATCTTTATAAAACCATTGTGAACAGTTCCTACCATACTACATAGACTAATGAAACAGTTGAAACAGATCATAAAACATTGGAAATCATCTTTATAAAACCATTGTGAACAGTTCCTACAATACTACATAGACTAATGAAACAGTTAAAACAGATCATAAAACATTGGAAATCATCTTTATAAAACCATTGTGAACAATTCCTACAAGACTACATAGACTAATGAAACAGTTGAAACAGATCATAAGACATTGGAAATCATCTTTATAAAACCATTGTGAACAGTTCCTTCAAGACTACAGGGACTAATGGTACAGTGGAAACAGATCATAAGTTGTTGAAAATAATCTCTACAAAGCCATTGTGCACAGCACCTGAAAGGTTGATATTCCAAATTTAGGCTATCCATTTTATATTTGCTGAGGAGTAACAGTGGCTCTGGTTTGTGTAGTGCAGTGCTTACCAAATTCTTTCAGCTCACAGTACACTTTTTGCAGCACATATATGTAAGTCCATATGGGAGGCCTAGTGGCTTTGTTTGTTTGGAATTGAGCACAAAGCTACACAATGGGCTATCTGTGCTCTGCTCACCAAGAGTATCGAAACCCTGTTTCTAGCGTTGTAAGTCCGCAGACATACCACTGTGCCACTGGGGGGCGGCCTAGTGGCACCCCCATGAATAAGACAGGTAGAAATTACTGTTATACTATGTATCAAGGAGAAAATAAATCAAACATGAAATTTTAAAAATTTACTAAATTGATAATAAATTTATTTGTCTAGATATGTATTACTTAATAATTGCAAAAGTTCGACGGCACCAAGTTTGGGAAGCACTGCTTTAGGGGAGTTAAGAATATTTTCTCTGTGTAAACCAGTGTTCCAACTTTATGGAATTGAATTTGACAGAGAGAACAAGAAGAAGTAATTTTTTGTTTGAAAGATAGAAAGTAATTTCATGACTTATGATTATACATTAGTCATGGAAACATAATATATGATTATACATTAGTCATGGAAACATAATATATGATTATACATTAGTCATGGAAACATACTATTTTACCATTTTACTTTATTTACTATTCACTCTGTCTAAATAAAACATCGCGATATTTTGACAAATAATGTTATTGTTATTTGTCCAAATCTCACTGTTTGGTATAATATTTGGTATAATTATATAATAATTGGTATAATACTTTGCCAAGCTAAAAATATAATTGGTCCTATTTTCAAATTGAGTGAGTATCGTGTTGTCTGTACAGAGTCTCGCCCAAGTAACATGTCGTTCCTACGAGCGGTGCGGAAAGCTATGGCAGGGGAGAGGGAGGAGCCAAAGTTTGAAGTTGTGAAAAAATACGATGTAAGTTCTTATTTATCCACGTGTTTATTATACGTAGAAAGATACGAAAGCTAAGGTTTTGATCAATACGATATTTTCAGTTCTCTGAATAATACACATGTATTCCTTTCTCCGATCTAAATGTTTTCGAAATATTATTTTAGCGGTTATAATTAACTTTTACAAATAACATGCAGTTTGGAAACTATAGATATTAAAGAGTACAAAGACAACACCTAAAACTTTTAAAATATCATATTACCCACCAAAGTTGAACGGTACAAATACAATATCCACAGTTTTTTCAAATATCATATTACCCACCAAAGTTAAACGGTACAAATACAATATCCGTAGTTTTCCAACTAAAATTTTACGCGATACAGTTAGAAGATACTCTCATTATATAAATTTTTCAAATATAATTTTCCGTAAAAGTCAAGCGTTATATTATCACCTTATAGTTTTCTCACTATCCCTTTAACCATCAGATGTAAACAATACGTCGTCTATAGTTTTGTTACTATCCATTTAATCATTATATGTAAATAATACGTTGTCTATAGTTTTGTTACTATCCATTTAATCATTATATGTAAATAATACGTTGTCTATAGTTTTGTTACTATCCATTTAATCATTATATGTAAATAATACGTTGTCTATAGTTTTGTTACTATCCATTTAATCATTATATGTAAACAATACGTCGTCTATAGTTTTGTTACTATCCATTTAACCATCAGATGTAAACAATACGTCGTCTATAGTTTTGTTACTATCCATTTAACCATCAGATGTAAACAATACGTCGTCTATAGTTTTGTTACTATCCATTTAATCATTATATGTAAATAATACGTTGTCTATAGTTTTCTAAAATTCACTTAAACCGTCAAATTTAAACGATGCGTTGCCTTCAGTTGTCTTAATATCCCTCTTATCGTCATTTTTAAATAATACATTGTCTACAGTTTTCTTAATATCACTTTAACCATCAGCTTTAAACGATATGTTGTCTATTGTTTTCTAAATATCCTTCTAACCGTCAGATTTAAGCAAAACTTCGTCTATACTTTTCCTAGTATCCCTTTAATCGTCAGATGTAAACAATACCTTGTCTATATCACTTTAACTGTTAGATTTAAACGATACGTTGTCTATAGTTTCTTAGTATTATTTCTTCTTTCAATTTAAACAGTACGTTGTCCATATTTTCCTGAATATCCTTCTAACAGCCAGATTTAAATGATATGTTGTCAGCTGTTTTCCCAATGTATTTTCATTTGTCAGATTTAAACAATACGTTGTCAATAGTTTTCTGAATAACCTTCTGTTACGACGGCGGAAGTCATGTGACGCTAGTAACACGTCATGAGCTTCTAGAAAATTCATGACCGTTGGTGAAGCCTCAAGTGTTCTCTAGATGTACGTTTTTTGTATATATAAGACCGGTAAAAAGTGACGACAACAATGGAATTGAATTGCAGACAGAGATAGAGAATCGTTCGTTGTGAATTATAGCGTTTGTTTAAGTTAACTGACTGTGGGAATTAAGTGTATTGCAAAGTTGTATTGAGAAAAAATAAACCAGTTTTATTTAAGGAAGGACTTGTATCGCTGAAGTTTTTCGGAAGGAATTTTTACGGGAAAATAACAAACGACCAGAGACGCAACACTTCTATCAGTCAGCTTTAAACTGTATGTTTATAGTTTTCTGAATATTTTTCAAAGCGTCAGATTTACACAATATGTTATATATAGCTTTCCTAACGTATTCTCATCTGTCAGATTTAAGCAATATGTAGTCTATAGTTTTCTCAAAACCGATTTAACCGTCAGAGTTGAACAATATAATATATGCTTTTCTAAATGTTAGTTCTCACACAACAATGGAAAGATTTTCTTAATGAAAAGTGTTTTTTTTTTCTGTCCACAGGATCATGACATCAGATCTTACCCTGAAACTGTCTGGATCTCCCTAAAGGTTACAGGCAAGACGCATGCTGAATGTGGCCGACCAGAGTTTTCTCGATTGCTGGGTTACATCAATGGAAACAATGAAACTGGTTCGACTTAAATTCTAAATAAAACTTTATCATTTATATAAAATAAAGCGGTTCTTAATCACAACGCGTGAGAGTATTTGGATTAAATGATACCTTGGTAAACGAATTATTTCTTCTCTCTTATGTTATCACGATACAATCTGTGATAAATTAACTTACGTTATCCTGTGGGTTACCACAGTTGTATTCAAAGCTTTAAGTAATTGTTTCATTTTCGTCAAAGTCCACATAAGCGTGTTCAATTATTTTAGAACACCCTTTGACAAGACAAGTTATTCTCCTCTATCTCTGTTGTTACAATACAAATTGTGAAACTCACTTTAGAAATCGCCATTAATGGCTAAACTAACACATAATTTAACTTCACTTTCACTAACTTACCTCTTCCTCTCTGTATCTGTATGTACTCATAACATGCGATAAAAAAATCTAGAAATAGCTAGCTATCTAGACACAACAATATTAAACATAATGAGAGAGACTTGTAATATTGTCAACAATATTACAAAATCCTAGTACAACAATTAAACTACACACACAACATACGACTCGTACAGAGTTATGTAACAAAACTTGTCATGAATATCGTTTTTAAAATAATTAACTTTTAACCCTCTTGTTATGAAAGCTAAATAATCATTAAATATTTGGTCACTAAATAAACTAAATAATAACTCTTAAACTGAACAGTCTTGTATATTCAACAATGATGTTCTGTTTTATCACAATGTTCAATAAATAGTGTTGTTAGTTTGGAATGTTCCACACTCTACTAACAACTGTAGCTAATTAGCAACAACTACTGTGGTTAGCTACCTTCCAAGCCATGATACGTAAACATAGGTACTTTAAACTATCAAGATTCAGTCCATGTGGCAAGTGAAACAATACTGTGTGAGACCATTATATAAGGCATAGACCTAATGACTCTTCACTTACATTTCAACTCACTCAGTTGGTTGTCAGATTTGTATGAGAATGAAGTACTGACATTATTTTATATTTTAATTGTCTTTTGCAGTGATTGTGTATAATATGAACTAATTACTGTTAAAATGTTTCATATGTTGTTCGTGAATGGAGCCACCATTGCGTTAGAAATTTAAATGAGATAATTTTTACAACAATGAAATGACATAAGAATATTTGATATAATTGTTATTAGTGTTTTCATTGTCCTTCAACAGGTGCTTCTCTAGCGATGACTTCTCCAGTTGTATTTCGTGTGAGCTTTGAAGAAACGGAGGAGTTGACCATGTCGTTATTCCTGTCTTCTAGTGTCGCAGATCCACCTAAACCCAAAGACCCAGATGTGTCGTTCTTCAGAGCTCCTGCAGGACAACTGTTTGTCAGGTATTTCTAAAAATTATTTTCTTGGCAAACTTTAACAATGTATTATATATATTAAAACATTTTAAATATTTTGAATTCATAATTTCACTAGTGGTGTTTTGCAGATTAAAGTGTGATTTAAAGTGAAGAATAATTTTTCTAATTTACCTACAGTGAGAAATTTCCTAAACTTTAAAAAGTTACATGTATTACAATGGATATTTACTCATTACTGAATTATGAATATTGTCAAAGATTACTTGATTAATAATATAAAACTAATCTTTTTAAACTACTTTTTAAAGTTTTAATGTATGCTGTTGTATATATATGAGGATTTTATAATTGTTTACATTAGTGAAACGTTTTGTTGATGTTACAAATAATCTTTAATTATTTCAGGCTATTTTTAATTTAACAAATAACCATCAACTTTTTCACTAACACTGTCGTGTTACAGGAAGATGACTTAGGCAACATGTCTTCACATCATTCAAACCACCTGTGTTTTCTATACTGTAAAACAGAAGTCGATAACGTACGGAGCGTTTATTCATGTGATCTACAACACGTGTGTTTTCTATACTGTAAAATAGAAGTCGATAACTTACTGAGCATTTATTCACGTGATGCACAACACGTGTGTTTTCTATGCTGTTAAATAGAAGTCGATAACGTACCGAGCGTTTACTCATGTGATACACAATATAAAACAAAGGTATGTAACATATCAATTGAATGAATATCATAAAAATTGTAAACCAGAAAAGGGTTCACATCAAGGTTTTGAAACAATACGACGTTTTAAACTATAGGTATTGGAGAATACGATATTTACTCATATAGTTACACCTAACAGCTTCGGTAATCTTTAGTACTGACACGTTTCTAAGGACAACCTATATGAACCACCAATATGCGACCTTCATTCCTGCAGCTTGTTCCGACGTCAAGTGTAACCACCAACATATGACCTTCCTTCCTGCAGCTTGTACACATGTCAAGTGTCACGAACAATATTTGACCTTCATGTGACTATCGACTATTCTTGAATACTTGGTTTGATGATGGTAACATAAGCATTCATATAACAGATGAAATTATATATTGTTACGTCTCTGGTCGTTTGTTAATTACTCGTAAATATTATTTCCGAAGAACTTCAGCGATACAAGTATTTTCTCAAATAAAACTAGTTTATTCTTTCTCAATTCAACTTTGCAATACACTTAATTTCCACAGTCATATTAACTTAAACACACGCTGTAATTTACAACA